ACATTTAAAAAACATATATATTCAACTGAATGGCCAAGTTACCTAACCTAAGTTGAAAAATGACTATGTAGGTTAAATGTGGAATAAGACAAGTTGTCTTACTAATAAAGTTTTCAAAATAAGTTAACTAACTCCACTTAGCCTTGAAACTAAGGCCAACTAGAAAATAAAGAAGAAAAAATATCAAAACACCCAAAACTCATGATAGCTACCAGTCATCCCTAAAGACTTTCTGCTATTAGATATCAAAATTTATATAAAATTTATGTATAATTTGACAAATTAGCTTTTGTTACATTAGTTAGTTGCTCGAAGTTACGCATGATAAAGTTAATTTATAATATTACATTAATTAGTTCTTCGATAAAGTTAATTTATAACATATTTTATTTTATAAGTTAATTTTGTAAAATTAAATCAAATTTTTAAGATTAAAAACATTAACTAAATATATCATATTAAAAATTGGTTGAATTTATTGTTTCATTTGTTATTAAAATTAAAAATAATTTTTAGATTTATTGTTTTACATATTACTATTAAACCAGTATATAAATAGATGTAGACTTTACTTTATAAATAATTATAATTTTATAAAATTAAATTAAACTTAAATTTAATCTCTTAACATTATTAATGTTGGTTATATTTAATGAAAAAAATTTAAAAGTTACTGAATTAAATATTAACGTTTACAAATAATTATAAATCTCCTAGACATTTTTTAATGAAACGTAAAGTATTGCAAAAATAATAATTTATTACAGAAAAAACTATCTTTAGGTGCAATTAGTTTTTCTTTTGTTAAGGAGAATAGAAAAAAATGGTTAAAGTATTTACGGATAATTAAATTATGGTATAAATGTGAAGTTATTTTTCATATCAAACACCAAGAAAATACGATATCAATAAATCATAAATAAAATCTACATAAAAAAAATTAGGATATAATTTTTAATCCAAAATCTTAAAAAATGTATTTATAAACTTTTTATTTATATTTTAGTTTTGATGCCACGTAACACTTTTAACTCACTTGAAATCTTAACAATAACCAAAACGATTACAAATGCTTGTGAAAAGTGGTTTTGGTGTAAGGGAAAAAACATTTAGTAAATTTCATTTAATTTACTAAATGAAATTTTCATTTAGTAAACAGTCTCAACTCAAAATAAACTTGTTTCAGTACAATTTATTTAAATTCTCCAACTCTACTTAAACTAAATATTTAAATTCATTGATTATACAGATCATGCTATCAAACTCTGCTTTTGTTTTCTTACAATATATTACAATTTACATTGCTAGGAATCTAATAAACTTTNATATATATATATATATATATATATATATATAAGCATTTACTATGATAACCGATATACGTTAATAAAATTACGTGACTTTTATTCTATTAATCTTATAACGTTTGAAAGTTTTTGTGTTTTTCAACATATTTGTGTTTCAAAGCAATATATGTTTGCAAAAACATTTCAATTAATGCGCTAATAAATCAACAACAATATTTGTAATGATTTAATTACGTCACTCAAGTAAGATTTGAATTATTTATTTAGCGAAAGATAAAACTAAATAACCCATAAAAAGATTCTAAAATACTGAGTTTTTAAAATTTTGTATTCAAGATAATATATATTCTCTTTTACATGAATAACTCAGACCTCAATTATAATGAATCTCTCTTTTCCTTATAAAAAAATTCGAACAAATAGTATTAAAATCAATTATTTATAATGACCAACTTGGAGGGTTATGATAAAAGTTCAACAATTATTATAGTTAAAGAAAGTATATTAAAATAAATAATCAACTTTGCATGCTTTCTATTTGTACTTGCGATAAAAATAAATAAAAATCTCCCTTTTTTTATTTCATCTCTCAAATCTCTCGCATTCACATCATACCACCCAAACAGCATTAAAGTATAAAACATCTCTATATTCAATTAGCTATTTGTATTAAAAAATTTATTTTTAATTCATAATCTTTTATCTCACAATTCAATTTTAATTGTAATATTTTTGTGCTGTTAGTGAAGAATTTTTATTATCTTAACTGCCTTTTTTCTTTTACATTGTGTTTTGATGGTATTTGGTGATAAATCTTTAGGTAGTTATATTTCTTAAGTTTTTTACTATTTTTTATTTTTGTTTGAAATCCAGATAAATAGAAGCAACTGTTTAGATAATAAGTATTTTACGATTATGAAAGTATGTATTGTTATGAAAATTGTTAGGTCAATGTAAAAATTAAACTAAAGAATACGAATTGTTAGGTGTAACTGTATATATAAAAATTAAATAATTACAATTAGTTTGGAAACTAGACAGGAGAGTTTAAAGCTTAATAAAAGGTCTTCATTTAATTAACAAATTAGAAATACTAATGATTCAATTTAAATTGTGCTTATTATATTCTACAGTGCGAAGAGGTTTAAATTGAGAATATTAATGATTAATCAATTATCAATTATTTGGTACATTTTAAACTTTCTTTAAATTAGAAAACTGACTTGTTTGGAAGTGAGATTAATTTTAGGGCAATTGTAGTAATTTATTCCAAATTAGCTTATTCAATCATATAGTGAATAATATTATAATATATTATATATGGACTCTCAACTGTTAAATAACTCATTCTAATTATACAAGTATTTAAATTTTTTGTCTTGATTATATTTGATATATAAAAAATATACAAGTTTAAGGATTAAACCAATGTTGATGTCGAAATTTAATTTATTGTTATTTTATGTATATACTTTAGAAATATAGATATTTTGTTAATTTTATTATTGAGTAAATTATACTTTATTGAAACCTGTCGATCCTTACTGGTACAAATAATAGCTTCTTTTTTTACTGTAAAATTCAGAATGTAACTTTTATTAGTAAGTTATCAACTATATTATTTATAGAATCAATTACTACAGTATACTTTATAATATTTATCTTTATCTCTTTACATCACATCAATCATCTTATATCGTATCTTATCTGACATGTCTTTTACCAACATTAATCTTATCTCATATAAACTTTCTCTCCTAAATTAATATAACACAATTCGATATTGTAAAAAAAGTGCTTCTTGTCCACACATTTTAGAATAGTGTTAAATTAGTTCATGATTAACTAATCGTGTTTTTTCCTTTTGCCAAAGAAACACAGTTTTGCTTACATTGCATAACCAAAAAATAACCAATACACTTGGAATTAAAATAATTAATGTATATATTTAAAGTGAGAAACAAGATTTTTTGTTCTCCCAATTGGGAAAAAAATATCTTATTTTCATGGTTTTTTTTTATTGTGTGGACAAGTATTTTTTACACGTGTAAGTCCCATATTAAAAATACTTTAATTTATTAAAAAAAACACAGAAGAGGAAATACACGTGTGAACTCATCAAATATAAAAGTTACTTTTCTCAATTTCCAAATTTTAATAAGTAAATGATGCACATCTAATATATAAGTTATTTCTAACAAATTTAGAAAAATCAAGTAAAGAATGGACATTTTTAAGCTCTAGACAAGTATAAAGGTGCATTACATCTAAACTTACACTTTCTGTAAATTTAAAAAGGAGATTAGCAATGACTAAATTAATTAATTATAACATTTAAAAAACATATATATTCAACTGAATGGCCAAGTTACCTAACCTAAGTTGAAAAATGACTATGTAGGTTAAATGTGGAATAAGACAAGTTGTCTTACTAATAAAGTTTTCAAAATAAGTTAACTAACTCCACTTAGCCTTGAAACTAAGGCCAACTAGAAAATAAAGAAGAAAAAATATCAAAACACCCAAAACTCATGATAGCTACCAGTCATCCCTAAAGACTTTCTGCTATTAGATATCAAAATTTATATAAAATTTATGTATAATTTGACAAATTAGCTTTTGTTACATTAGTTAGTTGCTCGAAGTTACGCATGATAAAGTTAATTTATAATATTACATTAATTAGTTCTTCGATAAAGTTAATTTATAACATATTTTATTTTATAAGTTAATTTTGTAAAATTAAATCAAATTTTTAAGATTAAAAACATTAACTAAATATATCATATTAAAAATTGGTTGAATTTATTGTTTCATTTGTTATTAAAATTAAAAATAATTTTTAGATTTATTGTTTTACATATTACTATTAAACCAGTATATAAATAGATGTAGACTTTACTTTATAAATAATTATAATTTTATAAAATTAAATTAAACTTAAATTTAATCTCTTAACATTATTAATGTTGGTTATATTTAATGAAAAAAATTTAAAAGTTACTGAATTAAATATTAACGTTTACAAATAATTATAAATCTCCTAGACATTTTTTAATGAAACGTAAAGTATTGCAAAAATAATAATTTATTACAGAAAAAACTATCTTTAGGTGCAATTAGTTTTTCTTTTGTTAAGGAGAATAGAAAAAAATGGTTAAAGTATTTACGGATAATTAAATTATGGTATAAATGTGAAGTTATTTTTCATATCAAACACCAAGAAAATACGATATCAATAAATCATAAATAAAATCTACATAAAAAAAATTAGGATATAATTTTTAATCCAAAATCTTAAAAAATGTATTTATAAACTTTTTATTTATATTTTAGTTTTGATGCCACGTAACACTTTTAACTCACTTGAAATCTTAACAATAACCAAAACAATTACAAATGCTTGTGAAAAGTGTTTTTGGTGTAAGGGAAAAAACATTTAGTAAATTTCATTTAATTTACTAAATGAAATTTTCATTTAGTAAACAGTCTCAACTCAAAATAAACTTGTTTCAGTACAATTTATTTAAATTCTCCAACTCTACTTAAACTAAATATTTAAATTCATTGATTATACAGATCATGCTATCAAACTCTGCTTTTGTTTTCTTACAATATATTACAATTTACATTGCTAGGAATCTAATAAACTTTCCTACAAAGTTGTCGAAAATTGAAAAGAAGAAAAAAAGAATCTAAATTGTTTATGAAGAAGAATTATGATTAAATGGACTAAGAAAGAATAATTAGAAAAAAAAAATGAAGTTAATAGAGCTAAAAATACAGTCAATGAGTCCCCCGTAAAAAATTAACGATGATGCGGTTGAATTGTACTGGCTTTTCAATTTGAGGCACATGTGCTGCTTCCTTTATGAGTTCTAATTTTACATCTTTACCTATCACCCTGCCATACATTATGCATACATCAATTTCTCTTCCATTCCATAAAAACTACAAAAACAAAAGCACCCACTTAGAAATTTAACATACTCTTTCAGTTCATGCGCCAATCGCACCGGAAAAACCCGGTCTTCTTCCCCCCACACTATCAGAACTTCCTGAACATCACAACCACAGTAATTAACAACGCAAGCAAATGCAAACTATTTAAACAAAGAATTCATTTCGTATGTAGAAATTGAAATCGCATTATGAAAAGGAAATGAAAAGTCTGGATGCCTGTTTAAGAGGTGAAACGTTAGAGGTTTCTTGCCTGCCGACAGAGATCCCTTTTAGAATTTCCAATTTTCTCTCCTTATTCTCTCCGTACAATTCCTAGAAACAATAAAAGGAAAATGCAGGAACGAAAGGTATGGAAAATGACAGTGAAGAGGGAGAGAGAGAGAGAGAGATATGTATATACATGAATGAAGATACTGAGGACAAAATCAGGGACATGGGGAGGCTTGTAGATGGAGAGGGACATCAACTGGCGCAGGTGGTGGGGGGAAGAAGGAAACATGAGGTCGTCGATGTTGTTCAATTTAGAACTTCGGAGCATCTCTAGGTTGCTTCTGGCGGTCATGTTAACGCCGGAGCTGGCGATGACAACTTTCTTCACCCTCCCTTCCCCCAACATCTTTGCCAGATTGTAAGCCACCAAGCCACCGTAGCTGGTGCCCACCACGTGCAACGTCTCCACCTCCAACATATCCAGAAGCTTCCCCACCGACTTCGCCTGAAACACCTCGCTCCTCTCGCTGGAAATAGTGGTGGAGCCTCCGAAGAATACGAGGTCCGGAACGTAAAGGTTGAAGTGTGGGGCCAGGGATTTGACCTGTCTGCGCCACTGCCACGTGGCCACGGGCCCAAAGCCGTGGATGAGAACCAGAGAGGGCTTCTGGGCCGTTTTGTTTCTTGGGCCCCAAAAGTGCATGGTGGTCTTGTCGTCAAGGGCGAGGGCCTGCGACCAGAGGCCCGCCCCGGCGAAACAGCGCCGGATGTACTTGTTGTACATGCAGGCGAAGTTGAATGACGAAGGCATGTCGATGAATTTGGTTGCTCCCTCCCTCGTCGGAGATTTCATTGCTATTTATATTGGTTCAAGATTGTGTGCGTAATCCATCCTTTTTTTTCTCTCCTTTCTCATGGCTCCCCTTCATTTTCGGATCACCGTCTTTTCCTCTCAGTTCCCGTCAAAATAATCTTCACAGATCTTTCCCCACTCACTCACTTCTTACCTTGCTTATTCTTCTAACTCAAATCATTCTTTTTTACCAATAATATTCAATTCCGATACTAATTTCTTTTTTCATGCATTCCTAATCATTTTTAAAAAAGATAACTTACTTTTTTTTCCTTATATTATTTATTTTATTTTCTCTCTGAATGGTAATGGTATAAAATGAAAACGACCAGGAGATTGGAAACCGTTCAGGTCAGTACCAGTTCTTTGTATCAACTCCGATGCAACATAATCCTTGTTGAGGTAGCAACTAAGAGTCCATTTTGTTTTGGTGACGAGTGCCTTCATAAGCTGACTATTCAAGTCAAGGAAATTACCGACAGGGTACATAAATAATATGGTTAAAAATATTTGATAAGGTTAACAAAAATAAGTTTGATAATTATGATTAATATGTGATTGGATCATAATTAGATTAATGATAAATAATAATCTATTACAAGTTATATAAATAAAAAATTAAAATAAAATAATTAATTATATTGATTGCCACGTTTAATAGATTTTTTTCAACTTGCGCAAACTGTCCTGAATTAAGATAAATGTGACATATTTATCATTGTTCTTACGTATGAAAAGTGAAATCAGATAAAAACAAGTACAATGCCGAGTAACTTTGCTTCGGCAATATAGCATAAAAGTATTCTGATTTTTTATTTTGTTTTTTTTTCTTTTAGTTCCACGATATTGTCGTAATAATAATAAAAATAATAACAATAAAAATAATTTTTAATTTTAAAATTGTTTGTGATTCTTTTTATTGATATCAACTATTGATTATTGAAAATAGGAATATCAAAATATAATAACATAAAAGGACACTCAAAAAATAAGTAAAATTAAGGTTTAATAGGTTCGGAGGTCCCTATATTTGCGGGTTCGTTTCACTTGGGTCCTCCAATTTTAAAAGTGATCAATTAGGTCCCTAATTTAAAAAAATTGAGTCAATAATACCCTTTCCGTTAAATGCAAGGGAATCTGAATGCAAATTAAAAATTGCAGAAATTGTCACGTATTAAGCTCAAACTCTGCCACCTGCAAATAAAATGATGTCTCAGCATGTCACCTGTTTAATTTGCATTCAGATTCCCTTGCATTTAACGGGAAGGATATTATTGACTCAATTTTGTTAAATTAGGGACCTAATTGATCACTTCTAAAATTGGAGGACCCAAGTGAAACGAACCCGCAAATATAGGGATCTCCGAACCTATTAAACCTAAAATTAAATTAAACAAATTACAATTTAAACTAAATTGTGCATTTTTTTTATGTGAAAGTCATAAATTTTGAAAGTGTTCTCTCTTTTTTTAAAAAAAAATAATCTAAAATACGAATAGGCAATATTTGTTCGCAATTAAAACTGAAATTTCTAACGGTGAAGGGACACATAATCTCAGACACCATATTAAATCACATTATTCTAAAAAGTCAACTAATCATTTGTGAATTTTCTAATACATAACTCCTCTCAGTAATAACATGTTTGTCTTATGAAACGAATAAAAAGTATTACTATTATTATTTTATTTTTTCGTAAATTTATTCTATTTCTTATAAATACTGTTTTCGTAACTTTAATTTCAGACATCATTGTAAAGTTTACAATTCTGCTAACACCTAAAAGTATTAACTCAAACCTTAAAGAAAGAAAAATTAACATTAACACGGTCAAACTTTTTTTCCAAACGCCTAGATCTATGATTCATTAACACGGTTGACTGTTTCTTTCGATAATTTAGTATACGCATTCATTAAGACTATATTCAAGCCATATAAATAACTGCATAACACTCTTTGAGTAGTATGAGTCTGTACAAATATTACATTTTTCAAAGAGTTCATTTTTTTTTTGTTAAGATAAAGATATTAAAATATTAGGGGTGTTACTCCCTCCACCCCCACACGTCTCTTCCTCCACCTCCCCAATTTTCTAAAATGCCAATTATATCCTTCTAAAATGACAATTATATCCTCAAAAGTTAAAATTTTTATTTTTATTATTTTAATATTTTAATTTATTTAAAACTTCTGATTTACTTCCCTCTGCACCTCTTCCTCTCTTCCATTTTCGTTTACCTTTCTCTCTTTCGTTAAGCTTCTTCTCCACCTATAACAAATTCATATTTTAACAAATTCATATTTTAACAAAATTATTACGTTTAAAAACTAACCATATATAACATTTAAAATTATAAATTTAAATATAAATTACTGTAAATAAAATAAACAAATAAAATAAAAACGAAACGTAAAAGGAACACTGCCTCTGGACGGATGACATCCTTCAACGGATGTCAACATCCGTTGAAGGCAAAACGGATGTCGACATCCGTTTTGCCTTCAACGGATGTTGACATCCGTT